AAGGTACCCACGGAGGAGGCACCCTCAGTAGTCAGAGACGGATTGGCCCCTGACTCATCCCTAGAAGAACGGACCAGTATTCCAATAGATAATCTGATGGAGATGTTGAATTTCTATACACAAACAACACACTTCGGAATGGTATCAGACATATATCGACAGGATGGGGGCTTAGCAATGTGCTCACCATCATCACCAGCAATGGCGAATATATACATGGAATACTTTGAGGAAATGGCATTAGAATCTATATCTCTAAAGCCAACTATATGGCTAAGGTATAGAGATGACACCTTCATACTCTGGCCACACCACATGTTCAGGTTCTACTGGACTATGTGAACTTAATAAGACCTTCGATACAGTTCACAATGGAGAAAGAGAGTAACAACACACTCCCATTCCTGGATGTTCTAATATCTCGAACAGAGCATGGGTTCAAGACATCCGTATACCGTAAACCGACATTCACCGGACAGTACCTCAATTTCAACACCCACCATCCATACAGCGTAAAGAAAGGGATCATCCCTTGCTTACAACACCGAGCAAAGTCATAAGTGGCGACCCAGAGCTGTTAGATAAAGAATTGGTCAGTAAAAGTAGTACCCGACAACGTAACAACTACCCTTGGTACATGGCTGCAGCCCCCCAAAACTGGGATAGGCGGGTACAAGAGGAGGACAACAATACTTAGAAAACAGTCTGCCTGCCTTCTGTGAAGCGGTTATCAGAGAAAATACAAAGGATTTGCGGTCCATACAACATCAGGATAACCTTCAAAAGCTTGACGATACTTCGCAGGTATCTCTTCTGAGTAAGACCCCACCCCTAGAGAAGAACATGACTAAAGACTGTGTATACGCTATCCCGTGCAGCTGCGGAAAGAAATATAAAGGGGAGACAGGCCACCCCCTTAAGGTAAGGCTTCAAGAACACCAGAAAGCTGTAACACGAGGGAAAGTGGAAAAATCAGGCTTGGCTGACCACATATGGAGAGAAAAGGGAGATCACCGCCATCTGTGGGATCAGGTTGAGATTATAGACAAGCAACACCACCGGAAAATTCGTAAACGTAAGGAATCAGCACATATGCTAGGCCACAAAAATTTCCTAAGCCGACCAAGCATAGAAATGAATACAATATGGGAACTAGTAATAAGGCGTGCCAGAGAAAAGCAATAATAACGACAAAAGTTCCAATATGAGCTCTGGTAAAAAAAATCATGCAATAACAGCAAAAAATTGCAATATGAGCATTGGTAAAAATAGTTGCTGGGACATTAGGTTTATAATACCCAGAAATTCATACACAGATGTCCTCAAGGACACATGACACAGTGGATAAAGGCGTTGGTTAGATCCAGTGACAAGACCCAAAGAGTGTGTGTGTGTGTGTGTGTGTGTGTGTGTGTGTGTGTGTGTGTGTGTGTGTGTGTGTGTGTGTGTTCAATACCCGGTTAAAGGGGAAATTAACAAGAGATAACTGATAACTGACATCTATTAAACATGGCACGTGGAAGTGGAACAGTCTACCCCAGTGAGCGAAATAAAGGTCCAGTTCGACATTCCAACCACCCGAAGAAGTCCGGTGCGTACAACGGCCAAAAACGTTGTAATAAATATGGCGCCAAAGATGAGGACAATAGACCGAATAATGTAAATAATGAAACATGTCAATATATATATATATATATATATATATATATATATATATATATATATATATATATATATATATATATAGTTGTGTGCGTGCATGTGTGTATCTAAATCATTTCAACCCCAATCAAAGTGATAATAAAACTAGGACGCAAGGAGTTACGGTGAGTGAAGGAGAATGAAGAAGACTTCCGTGAGAAATGACGAAAAGGACAATAAAGGAACAGGTTTCAGGAAAACAGAAGATGGCAATTGATGTTTCATTCAACTTTTTGAAAATAGCAGGTGGCATGGAAGCCAGAAATTGGAAGGAAGTTCCACAGGTGAGAAGTGCGAGGACAGAGACTATTAGAACTGACGTCTGCGTCTAACTAGTCGAAAAGTAAAATGGTGTGACCTAGTTAACAATCTAGTAGCACAAATAAATTCATGCAATCTAAGCACTAAAGAGAATACTTCCTCAGAATAATATATATATATATATATATATATATATATATATATATATATATATATATATATTTGTGTGTGTGTGTGTGTGTGTAGGGAAAGAGAGAGAGATAGTGATGGAGTGAGAGATAGATAGATAGATAGATAGATAGATAGATAGATAGATAGATAGATAGATAGATAGATATGTTGTGGCCTGTTATGGGCCAGAAAGAAAGACACGGAAAGAAGAAGGTAGGTTGAACAAGTGCTATTGAAATAACATAACATATATACAAAAATAAGAGTGTTATAAGTCAGCAGATAGAAGTGTCCGTTCGTACTGTCAGATTACACTGCGTCTCGACTGCCGATATTTAACAGTCCCCCCCCACGAGGAAGGTATGTGGCACAAGGTCGAGTTTAACGTGGCTCGGCTAAAAATATTCCCTTAGATTCCATTAGAACCTGCTTAGGCGCGTTCAGGATCTCTCTACCTCCCTTTGCCCTTCAATAGATAGATAGATAGATAGATAGATAGATAGATAGATAGATAGGTAGATAGATAGATAGATAAAGTTTAAGGTGAGTATTTTCTTTGGATAATTGATTGTTCGAAAAACCAATCCGTTCAAAAGAAAGGGAAGTCATACTATACGCATGAAAAGGCAGGTCTAAACTATTTGCTTTTATTAAATCCGTAAATTGTGTAAAAACGCAGGATAATGCTTCAAAAGTCGTGATATTTCATTTTACAAACAAAATTGCGTCGTCCTGTCTAAGATATTCAATGAATCATGACGTAATTATAAAAAAAGCGCATCTGCACACGTGCACAGGAAGTGCAATGAATTGGTCGAAAACACAAAGTGCGTGCAAATAACATTAATTAAAATTGGGGGGAATCATTGTTTTGTTCTTTATGAAGAAAAAACCCAATTGCTGTTGCTTGAGATTCTTGTTTCATTGTTTTTGCCAATGACAGCATTTGTCGAAGATGCATTAGCGTCGATTTTCTCTTGTACTTCATGAAAAATCTCAATACGTCGGTAGCTTCACAGAAGGTGCCGGTATCTTATTTGCTTTATCATGCTTGATTTTCCTCAATAAAACTAGTATTAAACAACAGATAATAGCAATATTTTACAATTACACTTATACCGATATGAATAATATGTGAGTTTTAGCTTAGAATATCAATCCTTATTTTAAATATTAACAATAAACTGTTGTTTTTTTTTGTGGGGGGGGGTCAGTGTTTGTTATGCAAACTTAGCGCAAGAACATTCTTAATTATAAATAAATCCAACACTGTAGAAACGTATTTGATTACTACAGTATCCAAAATACTCGAATAAATTATAATTTTACATGTTAATATCGTCTCTTTGACATTCTATATCCTTCATCTGTCTTTCAAATGCTGATTTTGTTCATGTTTCTACTGTTTCAAGTTTATAATTACTTCACAGGGATCTTCATTACTTGAATGTTATTTTTTATTCTCATATACGTCTTGTTTAATTATGGACCACACGTTTCTTTTTATTATATCAATAACTAGAGAAGCTGATTACTATTCCATTAATTTGCTGTCTTTGAAGAGGATTTTCGGCACAATGGGCATTCGTCAGCTTTATAGAATATGAAAGAACATTCTCTAACTGGAATATACTCTTTAGCTTAATTCGTTTTGGCTGTGAGCTGTATAAATTTTGAAGGAATCCATAATTTCTCTGTCGTCTATACTAGGCCAGAACCTCAATTCACTTTCTCTTTGTTGTCTTATTGTTACAGTTGTCGTAATGTTATAGCTATAATTTAGTCTAGAGGATAAGGAAATTGAACATAAAATAGATTGTCTTAGGGATAGTTTCACCCAACACCGTAAATTGCTACTGAATCGAAAATGTTAAAAAAAAACAAAAGAAAACTTCGAGATATGATATAAAATAGCCTCGTTAGAAAACAAAGCCTAGTTCAGAAATATTAAAACTGTCAGCTACATATCACCGCTTTCGATGGTTAAAATGGCTTCGAACGAGTGAAGTGTGTAGGTCTCAGCGAGGACTATCCTTATTCGAACATTGAGGTCTGACGCTACACAACGACAAACAAAGAGCTATCAAATAACATAAACCACATCATTTGATGACTTTTAACAACAATGACACCTAACATGGATAGCACATGTAACACGAAGCGAAAATAATGTTATGATGAAGATATTGACGTTACACACTAATTCGAACAAAAGGTTAGAAATGAAACTCCCATTAGTACTGGAAAGAGCGATAACAGCTACTGGACATTAGAAACTTATTTTCCTGAAAGATTGTTTTGAAGGAAAGATTTTATAAATTTCATTAGAAAACATCTTCCTCTCATCGGTCGATGAATCCCGAACGTTTCCTTATAAGGAAATGGCTAATATTGCCATTGTCATAAACATAAATGTTAGATATAAGATTTACAGAGCAATTACTAAGAGCTAGTATCACTTGTATGTCTCTTGGCTTACGGTCATATCACGTAGAAACAGCGGTTCCTGTACAATCAACGAAGTTAAGCAACGCCGATGCTGGCCAGTACCTCGAGGGTTGACCGCTTGGGAATACCAAATGCTATAACCCTGGATGTGCCAGTGGTGTATTAAATAATGGCTTGGAATTGTTAATCGGAAACCCGAGTTCCGATTCCGTTAGGTTTGCTATATTCATTTACGCGCAAATACCCTTGAGATAGGTATGAATCCGCTTCTTCTCCTCCAGCTATGGGTTAATTAGTAAGACTTGTAATACTAAACCATTATTATATCAAAAATTCTTACAATCTAAAAATATTTCTGGCTTTAAATAACCTGTAAAGTGTTGATGCGTCGTAGAAAACGAATCAGTAAAAAACATCTTATGTTTCCTGGTGACGGTAGGGAGATTTGTATACCCCAAATAATGATGCGTTTTATATACTGAAAATATTATACACCTGCACATTTCACTCCTAAGGTTTATTCTTCTATTTGAATTCTACTATTTTTCTATTTTCTCTCTTTATCCGCCCTCTCGTTCTGTATCGCTTTTCTTATTTGTCACACTCTTCTCTTTCTCTTTCTTCTTCGTCTTCTTTAACCTTTCTCTGCTCTTTCTCTTCTATACACGTCTTTTTTGTCAATCTACTCTTTCTATTAATATTTTCTTTCTCCGTACCATTTCTCATTGTATTTCCCTTTTATATTTGCTCTCTCTCTCTCTCTCTCTCTCTCTCTCTCTCTCTCTCTCTCTGTATATCAAATGTATCTCTCTATATCATCCACTCACTCTTTGTCTTTTACTGTCCTGCCCCTCTCATATTCGACTTATTCCTCTCCGTCTTAATGTCTTCCACTGCCATCATGTTCTCGTCTCGTGTTCTCAACCAGGCTGTTAGCTTAAAATGCGCACTGATTCGCCGTTCGATATTTTCGGCTATAAATAGCTGCACTGCACCGATTTAAACCCGTCTTTCTCTCTATTTCTTCATCTCGATAATTTCGCTTTATTCTCACTCATTCTTTCTTTCATTCATTCACTCGCGAGTACTGTTTCTGTTGAAATCTATCTGCCAGTCTATCTTTCTATATGTCAAACCCTTCAGTACATATCCCCCTTTTTCTAATCCCTCACTGACTCGCACGAACCTGTTCTATCTAGTTATCTAAAAGACACTCCATCTTTCTCTTCTGTATAATTTGATATTGTTCTCTACCGCTCTCTCTCTCTCTCTCTCTCATGCTCTATATGTCTGTAACTATCTCTCTGTCAATATGTCTCAAGATAAACTCATCTCTCTTTTCTCTAATTTCACTTTACTTCACATCTCTTTTTCCAACTCTCCTTCCCTTTCTCTCACTTTCTTTTTCTTTCTCTCTCTACTCACTCTCTTTTGTTTATATAATTACTCTTTACACTGTCCAGTTTGCTTTGTGTGCATCTATTTGTCTACCTGTCTTAAGAAAGAGTTAAGAGAAATTAATGCGAATAGAGAGGGAGAGAGAGACAAAGTTGCTTCAAACCATCTCTCTCTTTTCCATAATTTCCCTTTATTCCATCTTTAGCTCTCTCTCTCTCTCTCACTCTCTCTCTCGCATATGTTCTGCATCTCTGTCTCAAAGTAAACTCATCTCTCTTCTCTCGAATTACGTTACTTCATTTCTTTCTTTTCAATTCTCCTTCCATCAATCTCTCTCTCCCTCTGTCTCCCTCTGTCTCCCTCTGTCTGTCTGTCTCTCTCTATATATATCTCTCTGTTTCTCCCTCTTTCTACGCATAAATGCGTGTTCTACCCGTCTCTATATCTTTCAGTTTCTCCCTTGTTTTCTATTATTTCTCTTATCCCTCTCTCTCTCTTTCTCTCTCTCTCTCTTTCTCTCTCATGTGCTCCGTCTGTCTGTCTGTATGTCTACCTTTGATTTTCTTTTAACAGCATTTCATCCTATCTCTACCATCCTATATGATATCTCTTCACTCTCGCTCACTCATGTACACTTTGCGTACCTATCTATCTACCTAAATCTTGCAGGTCATTCTGTTTTAAAAGCAACTCTCTTTTGGAAACCTCCATAAGAACAGTGAGTTTGATCCTACCTGTGGGCCGCCCAGGTTTTAGCTTTCAACTAGACTATAGTAAACATCAGCTCTGTTGATATCTCCCAATATATTTCGGATTGCTCATTTTCTACCAATCGATATATCTCAGTTTTTTCTTACCTGTGTTCCATTTCGTTGAATTCTTTTATTGTGATACATTCTAATCAATTAAGCTATCGACCTTTCGATCTATCTTTAGATAGTACGATTATTTTTCTAGTTGCCAATCGTGTAGCACGCTTAAATTTATACAGCCAAGGCACCAAGGAGGAAAGCTCATCAGAACAATTACTATAAAAATATTTGTATAAAAGACAAAGGGAAATCATGTTACGTCGGTGAGAAAGTGACTGGAGCCGAGATGCCAGGTCAGGATTGATTACATTACATACCCTTCTTTGGATTTTAAAAGGAATCTCAAGATATACAGCAGAAACATCAGATCATATGTGGCAGCAATATTCAAAGCATGCACGAATGAGATTTATAAATGTGTAAAATGGATTCTGCCTAGAAAAATTGTCTAGCACAACGCAGTGAACCAACATTTCTAGCAGAAGACCTAGCAATTGATTCTATATAATCCCTCCATTTCAAGGATCATCAAACTTTTTCGACTAAAGACACCCTTTTGTTTCTCTTCCTTCCCCAGCGACCTCCATTTAAAATATATTTGAACCTTAAAGTTCGCACTGATGTTGGCAATTTAAATGTTAACAAAAATGTATGAAAAGTTAAAAAGTTTCGACCAAATTCAAATTTTTCTACCCAGCGTTATCAGGTTCACAATTTTCCCCAAAAAATATATTTATGGAAATATGTTAAATGATCCCAATGAATCAAGCAAATAATATATTAAGTACACCAACCCAAAATGCAGCCGATGTTGTTGAACAGAAATGCATAACCGCTACTAATATCCATTTAATAAGGTATTGTGTGCAAAGAAGATGGTTACAACTGAGAGTGAATTGTCACAAATGCAAAGAAGCTCTGAAATGCGTTATCTAGGAAAGGCTCAAAGTTAGGTTTGCTTGGAGATGTATGAAAAAGCCTTGCGCTTCATACAAAAATATAGCAATACCAGAAAGGAATCTTCCTTTGATGACTTTGACAATTCTTTAAAAGATATGATTAGAGTAGTGGTTAACTATGCTACCAGCCAGTTAATATACAGCTTAAAAATGCCTTGGATACAAAAATAACATACAAAAGTTAATATATTAAACATCCAATGACCGATTTTAGCAGAGATCAGTTGGGTGGGCCTGGTATTGTTGTGCAAATTGTTCGCAACCAACCCCTTGACTATCATCAACTCCCTGGAACTCCTCAACACCAATCCTTGGGGTGGGGGGGGTTCTGTTTGACAATCCTTGCTTCACTTCATGTCAGTGAAAAACGTGAGTACAAGATAGGCGCAAAGAGTTGATCTCCTGGAAGTTAGCATCAGCCATACTCTGATGGGAATGCAGATTACTGGAGCGTTTGCACGTAAATTCTATTAACATCTACATATGCACACAGTAACTATACAGCTATTTTCGAAGAGTATATTAGATTTCTCCCAAGGTCACAAGTAGAGGGTAACCAACACTCATCTTCTGGAATCTTGTTCTTTTCTCCTCACTAACGTTTTCTCAATTTTTTTCACTCTCTCAGTAACCCCGCCCCTTGCGTAGTCCCAGTGGCATTATCGCCTTCCTTGGGTAGAAAGGATCTTTAAAAATATCATGTTGAAACATAAGTTCTCGTCCGATCACCGTAGTTAAGCAAAATTAAGCCTGGTTAGTATCTAGATGGGTGACAGCTTGGGAATACCAGGTCCTATATGCTTGGATATGCGGTTGGAGATATAGATAATGGCTCGGAATTAAAAAAGCGGGGAACCGATTTTAAATTCCAGTCAAGTTTAATACATTGACTTATACGCAAATATCATTGATAAAGGGATGGGTCCATATATTCTCCACCCCCGCCAGCTATGGGTTATCGTAAAAAAAATAAAATAGCTATAATGTTAATGCTTTCTCTCTTTTCCACACATTCACTGAGACAGCCATTTACTTTGTATCATTTTGGCATGGCATCTTGGCGCTGAATATTCATTCCTTAAATTATATAAATTCAATTTGGCTCTTGTAATATTCTCTAGAATAATATAAACTTTATTTTAAGCAACTAAATAATATTTTTATGCTCGGGTAAAAAAGATAGATATGGATCTTACTAAAACTAGTGCCAAAAAGATAGACGTAGATTTACACGACAGTAAAAAAAAAAGGTAATATATAGACCAGGTTTACACTAGGGTTAAAAAGGTAGACATATATTAAGTTTACATTAGAATAAAAAAAATCTAGGCATAAATCTAGTTTATACGAGAGTAAAAAGAGCCAAATCAGGCTGAAAATGCTGTAGTCATTTTGGGGTAGGAGCTGCCCAGACCTCACTTTTCAGTCTTGAGAGAGTTCAAAAGCGTGTCCGTGTCCTTGTTGGAGAAGAATTATTTCCACCCTACAACTTCTGTCTCACAGGTGGGATGTGGCGAACTAACTCACTGCTCTATCGTTATTTCTATGGAAAGTGCTCGGACGAACTATATCTCTTTGTTTGTTAGGTGCTAACCTTCATGTCTAGGATCCGTCATGCCACTTACCACCCACATTTCCTCCATATTCCGTTGGTGAGAAATAAGTTCCACTCGAACAGCTTCTTCCCGTGAATCACTGCTTTGTGGAACAGACTCTCCACTACAACTTGTTAATGTCTAGAGTTAACCGTTAATTTCCCCTCCTACCTAAATAAACTACCCCTTACCACCTTGTAAAAATTTTTAAAAAATACCGATAATGGAGTTGGTATATTCCAAGTCCTGCTAACAGAGCAAACTGGATTGGTGACAAACTATGACTATGTTACGAATGATACTATTTATAGGTAAGGAAGTCTGACTGCTATTTCGCTGTATAACATCGTCCGTCCTCGTGTTATAAATGCAATGCAATAAAAATTCATCCACATTCGTCAGGGCTGCTACCTTTAGTCTCTTTCTTTTACTTCTTGCAAAACTATCTGTATGGTTAAAAGTACGACCATTATCAATACATTGAAAGGTTCTTTAAGACTTTATTGAATCCAATGTGAAATTTGTTTTTTACGTGATTTAAAAGAACCAGACTGTGAAGTCATAAAAGTGATGCACTGACGAGAAAATGACACGAATTCATGTGAATAAAGATTTTTGTAAAAAACAAAAACAAAAAACAAAAAAAACCGCTTATAATAGATTTATACAGTGTGTGTTTGTTCTGATTATCTGCCCCTAGCACAAATATACACCGTCAGGTGTCTAAAATAGGAAATGGTCATAACATGAAAAACAAATTATCAGTAGACCCTGTTCATAAATTAGAAATGGTTGCAGCATTTAAGTCTCTTCTTGTCATTAGCCACCATGGAATAACTTCTGAAGAAGCCGCCATGATTAGCGATGTAAAACGAATCCATCACTTATTACACACCTTTCTGATCACAGTAATATACTAATGACGTTCGTTATAATCAAAACGTTTAAAAAATTCCAGCCTTCGTTAGTTGTTACTCGACAACCTTCTCAGAATTTCGAACCAAATCCTTTATTCGATCCACTGGGATCGATTGTTTTTAATCCGGTTTTCTAGCTGATGCACATTTCATATCAATTAAGACACATCAGTTTAATTCATGTTTGTGTCGCTTGTATGTTTCTTACACGGAACCAGAGTATATGATTTTCTGCATTAACCTACCCATGAATTTGAGCTCTGAACAGCCAGGGAACTAGATACGTTTTAGCCAACGCTGTAATTAATTCAGACATGTCACATGGATACATAACACAAACTTTATAAATACTAACCATGATGATACATAGTTGAAAATCTTATAAACCACGTGTGATCTTGACTTCTTTAGTTCGGAATAATGAAAGACATAACTGTGTGTAATGAAAAGGCGTTGGGATTTTTGAGGAAAGGAGGGGCAATAAATTAAATTAACTTATCAGATTCGATGACCAGAAACTAGAAAGTAGTTTAATTTATTGCCCCTCATTTCCTAAAAATTCCCAATGCATTTTCCTTCCGACATGGAAAAGCCGAAACCAACAGACGTCGACGAAACGCGTCTTTCATAAACTTTTCCATTTTGTTGCCTTATCATCTCCACTTTTGTTTCGGATATTATTACACATCCTACAAACACACATACGAATCCTGTTCAATTGTCTAATAATCATTAAATGTCTCATATAGACAAACTGGCCAGAAACACAAAATATGTCTTTTGTCTTTCAACCTTATTTGACTTTTCCTTTTATGTGTTCATGATCCTTAACCTTTCGTACAAAACAACCACATACTACTGTTCCCATTGTAAATATACACATTTTCCTACAAACAATTGTTACTTTGTTCTAAACGAATAAAAATATCCATACACTCTCAATTTTCTTTAAGCAATTTCTTTGTTGGGTTTTGAATATCATTCCATTTTGGCAAACTTACTAACGAATCTTTTTTTTTAAATCTATTGAAACTTGCATTGCTTAGTCTTCTGCTAGGAGAGTTGCTTCACTGTGTAGGGCGAGACAGTTTTTTCTCGGCATAATCTACCTTACACATTTATGTCTACCATTCGTCCATGCATTGAATATTTCTATCACATCTGGTCTGGTTCTTCTGCTATATATTTAGAGATTCTTTGGGCACCTCGGGGTGGTGTAATGGTTAGCAAGCTTGTCTCGCTAGAACAATTAGAACTGAGTAATGTGTTCGATCCTCAATGAGTGCCCCATACTTTCGGCCTTGTGCCACATCTAAGCTACGCTTGGAAAATCACTACATTTAGAGATTCTTGAGAAAGTACAAAAATGAATCTGCAATGTTATTGATCCTGACCTGGCATCTAGACTTCAGTCCCTTCCCCACCGCCGTAACTTAGCTTCCCTATGCCTTTTCTATAAATATTTTTATAGTAAATGTTCTGATGGGCTTTAATCTTTGCTACCTAGATTTTTCGAATTTAAACGCACATGTAGATTGGCAGCTCAGTTGCAATGGCTAGATGTAACCGTAAGTTCTATGCTAACAGTTTCTTCTCTCGCAATTCTCACTTGTGGAAAACTATTCCAGCTTCTTAGTTTCCAGTCAACTTTGATATTTAACAATTTAAATGCAATGTCAATCGTTATCTTGTGTCTTCTTAAATCCTGTTCTTATATTGTTCTCTCTTCTTAATAATGTTTTCTTTTTATAATTATTCAATCACAGTCTCCTTGCATCTTAGTGACTTTATTGCCGCGTTTGGGGTGAAATGATTACACAAGCTCTCATTCTGTTCAATTATCAATCTAAGATATTGACAATAATAATAATAATAATGTCAAATATATTCAATGCCATCCATACTTTTTCTTTTATGTGCCGTGTCCCGTTAGAAAATGGTTGATCATGGCTCTCCACAACATTTTGTCTTTTATATCCCTAAATAATTGTTGTCTTTTTGTTATTCCTCCTAGTTCCTGTTTTGCTAATCATTTACACAAACTCGTTAGGGAGGTCATTCACCGCTTTCCTCTGTCGCGCTTTCCTTCAAGATATCATGTGAGTGTCAAATTCTCCAAGCCCTCTTTCCTCATTATGTGTCCTAGAAATTTCAACTGTCTCTTTCTGATGATAAGTAAAAGTGTAATTTTGTTTCCATTTTCTCTAAAATTTCGTCAATGCTCATATGCTCGAACCATAGTATTCTCAGCATTCTTCTGTAGAACCACATTTTTCTTGCTTCAAGTCACTTCTTTATCTGTGATGAGACTGTCCAGCATTCATTGCCATATAGAAGGACTGATATTACATAACAATTCAGTATTATTTTCTTTGATTCTCTGAGCATTAATCATTAAAATAAAATATCGATAAACAACAGCCAAATAAGGATTTGGTTAATAATCTCAATACACTTCGATTAAATAATGCCGAAAACACAAAACATGTGAGCAAGTTTTAAGGAAAATAGGAACTACAAGACAATTGATTTTTTTTACTATTATTCACATAATACAAGCCCTAAGTGCCACTCAAGACAGTGGGTTACTAAATGGAGGTGCTATCAGGGCGTACAGGGAGAGAGCAAGGGTTACATATTATAAGTATATGTAGGATAGATAACGATTGATCCTCGACTTGAATAAGTAAAACGTCTAGTGATCAGGGAAGCATCATCTCAGGAGTCCGTTCCAAATTGCAACAGTTATGGGGAAGAAGCTGGGTGAAACTTCCTCCTCACTAATGAAATACAAAGGTATTCGCGGCACGGCGAGTCCTACCCGTGAAAGTCTGGACTGGTGGAAGCAAGGAGACGATCGTCTGTCATAAAAATAGCAATAGAACAGTGAGAGACGGGCAACATTTCATCTATGGGGAAGAGACTGAAGAGTAGAAAACTATTTATCATTCACAAGTTACTGGAAAAGCTCTTGAATGCTAACAAACAGAAAGCATCAGGTGAAATTTCTATGATACACGAGGAAAGGGAACTTGGCGAATTTAGCACACACAGGGCCTATTGATGTGTAAACAGGAAGTAAACTGCTTAATGAGTTTGAGTGAATGTATAGCAGAGTAGCTTTTCGAGCAGCGGACCTGGCAGTTGATAAAGAGATAGCTGCAAATAGACTAGAGGATATATGCGAAATTATATGCATAGATAATAACAGACAGGGATTGACACTAACAGACTAGGATAGATGGGAATAGACTAGAATAGATACCATTTTTATTGGTGC